TCTCAACTTGGTGCCCATGCTGGCCTGGAGTCTATCATGTGATAAGGCATGAAATCGGTATGTTTGAATGCAAAACTCCATGAGGGGAAAGTGAGCCAACTAATAAATGTGTGTTATCTACACGATACTGTCTTCCGTATGGAAGCTTTTAGAACATGCAGTGTCTAGGATTGTGTGTTGTCTACACGGTACTGCCTTCCGTACGGAAGCTTTTAGAACATGCAGTGTCTAGGATTAGACTGACCAGCATCTCTAGGGATGCGTCTGAGACAAGAGTACATAAAACTTCTGCAGGAAGTTCCAGAGTACAGCCAATTAAGGGCAATGTGAGCCGCCATCCAGTCTTACTCATGACTGAGGCGTCTCCCTGAATGAAGGAAATTCAGAGCCAAACTGTCACGGTCCTGAGCAAGCCCGGTGGTTCATCACTTGTACTGATCCAAACTGTCATCCAGGATTGTTCATGAGTGATGTATTTTCAATTTTTGAAAAGCCAGAATGCATTGGCTTTATGGTTTTATTTGACACTTTCCTAATTACAGTCAAGCCTGTAGCTCCCCTTGACCTCAATCACTCCTTTCTCCGTGGGCTTTTGCTCAGGCTTATGCTGCTATTGACTTGGGTAGTGTACAAACCTGTGACATATAAATGATGACACGGATGGCTAAACCATCACAGCATGCGAGCAACAACCAGAGAATCAGCACAAAGAAGCAAAGTCTCCCCCCTCTTTCTCAAAATTAAATTGATATACCATAATTGATAGCCATAATTAGAAAGGAAAGAAGGAAGGGAGGGAGGGAGGGAGGGAGGGAGGGAGGGAGGGAGGGAGGGAGGGAAGGAGGGAGGGAGGGAGGAGGGAAGGAAGGAAGAAGAAAGAAAGAGGACAGGAAGGAAGGAAGGAAGGAAGGAAGGAAGGAAGGAAGGAAGGAAGGAAGGAAGGGAGGGAGGGAGGGAGGGAGGGAGGGAGGGAGGGAGGAAAGAAGGAAGGAAGGAAGGAAGGAAGGAAGGAAGGAAGGAAGGAAGGAAGGAAGGAAGGAAGGAGAGTGAGGATGATGTTGAAAGATGGTTCAGCAACTCAGAGCCCTGTGACTCACAATCCTTTATAGTTTCAGTTCTAAGGGATCTGACACCCCCCCCCCCGACCCCTCCAGGCACCAGGCACACATGTGATATATACACATACATTCAGACCAAACACTCATCACATAAGACAAAATAAATAAATCTTACAAAAACATTTTTAGAGAAAACAGACTTACTGTGTGATGTGGCCCTACTGTGTGATGTGGCTTTCCCATAGCCAGCTGTATGTCAAAAGGAAATGAAATCAGTACAGCAGAGAGACATTTGGACTTCTGTGTTTATTGCAGCACCATTCACAATATTCAGGATATGGACTCAACTCAGCATGTCCATCACCAGATGAACGGCTAAAGAAAATGTAGTGTATTTATACAAAATTCAATGGTATTCAGCAGGAAAAAAAAAAAAAAAAACTAGGGCAGCATGCCATTTGCAGCCACAGAGATGAAACTGGAGGACATTACGCTAAGTCAAAACAAAAAAAAAAAATCTAGCACTGAAAGGCAAATACTACAAGTTCCTCTTAGATTTGGAAACTAAACATTGATATCCTGGAAGTAGGGAGATAGGTGTTGTGGGGGAAGGAAGGGAGAGAGGGTGGAGAGGGGTGTTTAATGTGTGCAGGGGTACAGTCTGGTAAGAGAAGTAATGTCTACTGTGCCGTAGCACTATAGGAAAGGCAGAGTTTACAACAAACAGACTACATTTTCTAAAACAGATTCTAGAGGGAATTGCATGTTCTCAGTACACACACACACACACACACACACACACACATGTTCTGAGTAATTCTAATCGTATTCATATATACAGGGTGTATGTATCTAAACGTCACACAATAGCCCATAAATATATACTTACAGTGTCAACTAAACTACAAAAATAGGCTTTTAAAAGAGGGAAAATAAGAACCAGTTTAAAATGCCACCTTCTGTGAACCTTCATTTTTCCTCCCCAAGGTTAGGGTGAAGGTTTTCACGTATCTCAGTTACCTTGGCATGAGTTTGCAATCCCTTTAGTTATCTGAGACAATAAATGATTTTCTTTGTTATTATTTTATTTTATTTTATTTTATTTTTATTTTATGTACATTGGTGATTTGACTGCATGTATGTCTGTGTGAGGGGGGTCAGATCCCCTGGAACAAGAGTTACAGACAGACAGTTGTGAGCTGCCATGTGGGTGCTAGAAATTGAACCTGGGTCCTTTGGAAGAGCAGCCAGTGCTCTTAACCGCTGAGCCATCTCTCCAGGCCCACAAATGATTTTCTTAATGGAAAACTCTCTGCATGAATCAGATTAGTAGACATTATTTCAAATAGTAATAGATTCACTCCAAGAATGTGGCTTAGACAAAACTCATCGACTTGTGGACTCCGGAGTCAGACCTGTGAAAGGGGCACAACCCAAAGTTCTCAAGAAACTTGTCACTCAAGGAATGCCCCACGTGGGAAGCAGCAGCATCTCCTGAGAACCTGTTAGAAGTGCACAAACTCAGGGCTGGAAATGCACCTCAGTATGGAGCACTTGCCTAGCCCTGGATTCAACCCTCTATATCATACAAAAGAAAAAAAGAAGAAATGTCAAACCTCAGGCTCCACCCAGAACTCCTGAGTCAGAATGCGGAGGTGGAGTCTGCAGGGACATGCTGGGTTAGAGATCCACGTTCAAGCTTGAAAAGCGCTGAAGCAATCCTCTGAGGAACACTGTTTGCACAAATCACTTTGGTCGAGTGAGTGGGTGGTTGGTTGATTGGTTATTTGGTTCGTTGATTGATTTTTGAGACAATGCCTCATCCTGTAGCCCACATTGGTCTAGAACTCACAGCAGTATTCCTGTCCCAGCCTCTCAAGCGCTGGGATTATGGAGTGAGCCATGTCCAGCTGTTTGTCTAAGATTCTCTCTCTCTCTCTCTCTCTCTCTCTCTCTCTCTCTCTCTCTCTCT